ATATATATATATATATATATATACATTGGATTACATTATAATGTTTTTTTTGTTTTTTTCTAGATCCCATTATAATGGTTTAATTAAATTGTAATATCATGCGGCTGTCTTTTATTTTATTTTATTTTATTATTATTTATTAATTTATTTTTATTTATTTATTTATTTATTTTTTGTAGTTTACAACCCTGCTTGATTTATTTATCCAAATATGGCCAAATTCCATGGCATTCAGTGTTATTTGGTTCCAATTTCATGTCTGGATTCCATGATTCTGTTCACATTTTCTGCATTGTGTAAATCATAGGGCCCCCTATTCCTGTACTCAAACATAATGATTGCTTTATAAATTGGTCATGGCTACTCCCAATACATTTCCTTCAATGTTCATTCAAATGCTCACTTTTCCCTTGGTGCTCATACAGTATGTCTGCTTTAATTATGCCATCTGCCGTGAGGAAAACTCAAGGTTATGCTGACGTCTTTCCCTCTTCTAGACCGTAATCACTCAAGTTTGTGGAAAAGTCAGAAACTGTTTCATTTCTTACAATGGGTTGCAGTAATAGCCCCTTCTATGTCTGTGCCTGTACTTTCTATATCTCCCAGTCCCTCGCGCACGCACGCATGCACGCACACACACATACACACACACACACACATGATGCGCAAAACTCCGCATTTGAACAGTCAATAGCAAATACTTAAACTAATAACAAAACAGTAGCTGATTCAGAAGGCAAAGTCAGAATTACCTCCTCTCCTAGGTTCACGAAACGGTCGTCCATAAAATGCATTGCTGTTCTGTTGTAAGTGATCCAAATAAAGTGCTTTTGCTTTCGCACTGAAACACACAGCGTCTCCCTGACATGCTGCTTCAACACTAATTGTGGTTAGTGAAACCACGCCTTCTTTCTTTGCGTGATCATTTGGGCGCATTATGCAAATATTTCCACATGGTGAGGTAGATATGTGGGGGCGTGTTAGAATGAGCCGTTTTAGGGGGGCGTGGCAGAGTCTTAACTTTTATAAAGAATATCTCTTTGGTTTTGAGACTTTAGTCTTTGCAACTTCAGGGATCTTATCTATGCACAATCAGCTTGTAACACTCCAACGAGAAAGGAAAACTTGAAATCGCATCATATGACCCCTTTAAGCAGCACAAATGTTTTCAACACTGATAATGGGAAATGTTATTTCACTACTTAATAACAATATTACTGTTTTCACTGTACTCTTGATCAAATAAATGTAGCCTTAAAATTTTCAAAAATATTACCAACGCATTATTAATGTAATCCTAATTTTCTATTTAGTATATGAGCTTGTTAAATATAAAGTTCAAGCTACTTATGTGAATATGCTGTATGCTTTATTTAAGATATTTTACACACACACACACACACACACACACACACAAAATGAGACATGGAGCTATAGATCAGGTGATTTATTGTCAGGTTTGTTAGAACACACACTTTCACAGACACAACCTGTCACATTAATCAAAACACAGTTTGAATATATAATTATAAAGGTACACACTCATGCAAGCTGGGTAGCATTTAGAAAAACCACAGTCTGTCTGTGTGTGTGTGTCTCAACATTAGCACGTCTGTGTTCACGCATGCCTGCATGCGTTATGTGTGTATGTGTTACCTGACCAGGTGTTTGATTAGTAGTTCCAGCATCTCTCTGTTCCGCTCTGGGAGTTTGTAAACAAGTGAGTGAACCGCCACTAACCGATAGTCCAGATTCTCAGACTCTGGGGAAAAAATGTAGGAAAAGTCACACACACACTATAGATGGACATGATCCACAGATTGCTCTATTAACATAACTGTTGTGCCACAATCTGTGTTGACTCGCACCCATGGAAAGAGCGGTTCATGCTACATCTCACTGCCATGACTCCCATTACAAGGTACCAAAGGAAAACACTTCAAAGAATGCATCGTAAAGGCAGAATAAAGCAGACAGTGCAAGTCAGTGCACTTCTCAGTCTACACTAAGACTAATAGAGCTGATTGATTGTGTTAGCAAGCTAGTGGCTTTTCTTTTCTTGCTGCAGACATCTCACGGCAGTTTGCTGAATGTCTTTCAACTTGTCCAAAGATAACATGTAAAATCCTAAAAGGATCAGTACAGACACATTTATTGTGAACTATGGGATAAACACAGCTTTATCTAAAACTACAGCCTGTGGCGAAGCGTAACAAAGCTACTTTATAAAGAGCGGAGCAAAAACGTGTACTTGTGAACTGTGTACAGCGTTTTTAAGAGAAGCTGTAGCATCTTTGAAAGAGTCGGACAAAATTCTCTTGACGTCTTTAAAATTTAAAAAAAAAAAATGTGAAGAAATTCTACAACACGACAGACTGAGATGTCACTTGGGCCAAGTGAGTAAAGCAGACAAGCTATAATAATCAAAGCTGCTTTAATGGCTTTTAATCTTACTATGGCGAGGATTACAATACAGCACTTTCGACACAATTCATTGAAAACACTCAAAGCTGGGCACACACTCAACTCATGCAGACACAACGCCTCAAAACGGATGGTTTTGTCTCTAATTTCTGATTAGATGAGTTGCATTCTAAAGTGTATTAATATGCTACATTGCTGGCAACCCTACACAGCCTACAATAATGCTAAATGGACTATATTACTTTTTACAGAAATTGTTATTCTGAATATTATTAGTAATTAAATGTATCTATTTATTAAACACTGCCATCTTTCGTATTCATTTTGCCAACATTTTAACGAAGTCACTTGAAGCCGTGCATTTTTCCAAGATTAAGGGGTTTTAGACCTAATAATACCCATCAGGGCTGCACGATAAATCGCATGCGATATTTAATGCGCATCTTGTCAGAAAGCCGGTTCTGTAATCAGCGGTAAATCTCCATCACGTGCGTGCTTTCACATTGAGCAGCATTAACTACACAGAGCCGTTGTTCACTGACGAGCTGCGCAAAAAATCGCGCGAATATGAACGTGGTTTTGCGCAGCTTGTCAGTGAACAACGGCTCTGTGTAGTTAATGCTGCTCAGTGTGAAAGCACGCACGTGATGGAGATTTATCGCTGATTACAGAACCGGCTTTACTGACAAGATGCGCGTTAAATATCGCATGCGATTTATCGTGCAGCCCTACCCATCACCTTTGTAAAATTACTGTAAAATGCCCTCGAGTGGCTTAATATTTTAAACAAAAGGAAAGACTATGCAAAGCCAGTACAATACAGGCAGTGCAGGTCCGTTTGGATAATGACATGATGCGTCAAACATTACAAAAGATTAATCTATCAACAAGACCACTGAAAGAGGTTATTTTTCTTTTAATGATGCTTTTATTAAACGCCCATGTAAATGTCAGTCTTGAAAATGCCCTTTACTCGGCCAGCTGCATGCTTGACTACAGCAGCGTGAGCACAGGCACTCAGATACTGTGACAGGGGTTTTCAGAGAACTTAAGTCTGAATGCATAAATAAGATGCAATTTACCCAGGCTAAATTTATTCATTGTAAAATAGAAACAGTAGGGTACCCGTCAATACTGCAATATCTTGCTTCGGTTCACAATTCAGAATTCTATTTAATTGTGCATGTAATACATAACTTAATAACCACAAAGTAATAGAAGGAAGTTTACAAAGTTTTCCACACTGTCCTGTAACAGAGTGCCTATAGGATGACACAACGCATATACTCATGGTACAAATATGTGTGTGTGTGTGTGTGTGTGTGCATTGTATATAAAGTATTAAAATATAATACAAAACGGTAAATACCATTATTAACAATGGCTGGGGAATTGTCTTTTTTATGTTTTTGAGTCTCATGTTCACCAAGGCTGCAGTTATTTGATCAAAAATTCAGTAAAAACAGTAATATTGTGAAGGATTATTACAATTTAAAATTAAACTTTTCTATTTTAATATATTTTAAAATGTCATTTATTCCTGTGATTTTCTTATTATTATCTATGTTAAAAAAAGTTGTGCTACGAATATTTTTGCAGAAACCATGATACATTTTTTCCAGGATGCTTTGAAGAATAGAAAGTTCAAAAGAACAGCTATTATTTGAAGAAGAAATCTTTTGTAACATTATAAATGTCGATACTGTCAGTTTTGATAAGTTTAATGGATCCTTGCTGAATAAAGGTATTCATTTCACAAAGAACGGTAGTGCATTCTGTTATCAGTGTCATTCAAATGTATACAACTTGCAGTCTTTTGTTTTGTAGGGTTAAAAAAGGACCCCCTGGAACCTGCTTAGTTACCCATTGTGGTACATATATCCATGGTTGAGGATCACCGATGTGGGATATAGTATTGTGTAGAACTGAAAGGGCAAACAGTGCACTTGGACTGCTACGCTTGAGTTGAACAAGACTGACCCACATAAGAGATGGAAAATACACACATACACATAAAAGTGTTTGTCTGTGTGTGTTCGCTGTCATACTTGCTGCTAAGATCAGTTCTCCATGCAGGCTGTAGGTCATCAGTGGTTCACTCAAACTCCTGGAAAAGCATGCAAATGTACAGTACACATTTAAAAAAAATAAAAAAGTCATTTTTGAACATAATAAAATCATGTGTGCTTAACTCACCGCAGATAGAATTTCAAAGCACTAGTGATGGTCTTAATGTCCATGTCAGTGGAATTGAAATCTACATCCGCTGCACACTTTGGGTCTACAGAGAGAGGAGGACAGATGAAGACAGAGAGAGAGAGAGAGAGATAAATGGCCTTCCTCAGATGGTTGTTACTGTTGTTGAATATGTGTCAGGGATTTTGTAACAGCTCAAGGACGCTCTCATGGACGTATATCTCTGCTTTGGTTTCCACTGTGTAAAAAACTCAGGAAGTTCACAAAGCTCACTGCAGATATTAAACACGCCACAATAAGCTGGACTCAGAATTATGAGACAATAAATTTATGACAACACGATTAGCTTCTTAACAAGAAATAAAGTATGTTTGTATATTTGGTTGTAAATGTTTGTGTATAAATCTGGTTTACAAGTTTTAGAAACACAATGAGTGCATGTTTGTGTGAGAGTGTTCGAATGTCTTCCTCTTGTACACACATACACACACACATAAAGCAGATGTTCTTTTGGCCATTTCCTCACCAAAGAAGGCATTCAGAAGTTTTTGTACTTGAATGTTGCTGCCCACAGTCCTGTAGACTCCTTCCTGAGTCAGCCCTACCAGAAAGAAAGAGAAGAAGAGAGAAACTGAAAAAAGGAGGAAAGGAAGACAGAAAGCATGATTTATAGACTGAGAAAACTGGAGAACCTGCCATGAAGGAGAAAAAAAAGGTACAGCTCTACTGGAAAACGTGCGGTGGAACTGGCCCACTTTCAGTTCACGCTCAGCCGTCATTAGATGTGCAATAACCCCAAACGATAGCTTGCCAGAGTTTACTGATTGTTAACATACACCACGTTGTGCCTGACATTAGGGTTGGTCTTAAACGTCTGGGAAATCTGAGTAACGGCACACTCAGAGACTGGTGAACGCATACATCAACGCTTCAAACAGAGCCGTTAAGTGCTCGGTGCTCCCGCAGTCAACGCAATGGTGTAATCATGCATATTAATGCACATGAACGGCCTCTTCACGATTTTACTGCCGTACTATAACAGCCATGGAAATGCTACAGCCAGGTTTCAAATGACTTGCCTGCCATGTGGGAGAAAATGTGAGGAAGAGCATATACAGGTGCATCTCAATAAATTAGAATGTCGTGGAAAAGTTCATTTATTTCAGTAATCTGCTATCAATTTATATCACTTGTTTTTTTCTTTTAATTTATATGATATATTATTGACAAAAATCTGTATGTTTCAGTGTGTGTGTGTGTAGTGTGTTTCTGGTTCTTTGGCCACAGTTCTGCAGCAAAAACATTCTGGAAAAGAATGTTTTCTCTCTAGAGTTGGCTCAAATCGCTGTATCTGCAGATGTGAACACAAATGGTGTGCTGCTGCCCTCTGCTGGCTGCACATGAGACATGAATCTAATAAATAGTGACATTGTGTTGTCTCTTATCTCTGATTAAAGCATATAGTGACCATGAAAACCGCAGAGAGTGTCAGTCATTTGAGAACAGGTGACAAACTAAAATAAGTAACTGATATTGTTGCTAGTCTAATGTGTGATGGTACCTTTTGTTTCCACAAAGTTGATGCATTTTCTGACGAACTTGAAGCCGATGTCATTTAGGTCCACTGAGAAAAAAAACAAAACAATTAATATTACATTTAATGAACACGGTTCATCATCCCTGTATGCATTTCTCAATAGGTTACTGCACACTTTTTATGGTGTAATTATTATATACGGTATTGCACAGCCTTGCAAGTACCGGAATCTATTAAGCAGCATTTTCTCCATCTATTTTGGGAGTTTCCTGTGTTCTGCAGCTTTTCTCTTTATAGCTAACATACATCACTGAAAAAGGTCCTGAGATATCACACCTATACTACCATTCAAAAGTTTGGTGTCGGTAAGATTTTCTTGTTTTTAGATTAGATTAGATTCAATTTTATTGTCATTGTGCAGAGTACAAGTACAGAGCCAATAAAATGCAGTTAGCATCTAACCAGAAGTGCAAATAGCAATGCATATATATATAAATATATATATATACTGTATATATATATATATATATATATATATATATACATTATTGTACAGAGTGCAAGTAATGAGGTAGAGGAACAGAGACCACCTCAATGCAAATAACTGCAAATATAACATAAGGTGCAAGTGAACAAGTATAACACAGAAGGTGCATTATACAGAGTGAGGTCTATCAATAGTGTATTTTTCTGTATGGCCAGTGACCATAGCAGAGCAAATGGCATTAGGAGGTAGAAATGTGTATAAGAAGACAAAGCTATAATAAGGCATAATAAGAAACACTGTAAGTGTGCAGAAAAGACAGGATACTATACAGAGCAATTTTTTTTTTACACATTAGGTGGTCCATCTAGGATGTAGTGTTCAGCGTCTGAGATTAGAGCTCAGTAGGCCGATACTGCGAAGACTATATAATATACTGTATATATAATATACTATATACCCAGATGGGAGAGTAGTGAACAGTCTGTAGTTGGGGTGAAAGGAGTCTTTGAGAATACTTCTCACTCTTCTTAGGCAGAAAACAAGGCTGCATTTATTTGGTCAAAAATACAGTAAATCAGCAATATTACGCAATTTAAAATAACAGTTTTCAATATATTTTAAAATGTAATTTATTCTTGTGATGCAAAGCTACATTTTCAGCAGCCATTACTCCAGTCTTCAGAGTCACGTGATCCTTCAGAAAACATTCTAATATGCTGATTTGATGCTCAAGCAATTGAGCATTATTATCAATGCTGAAAACAGTTGTTCTGCTTAATATTTTTGCGAAAACTGATACATTTTTCTCACCGACCTTTAAACCATAGTATCTATGTTACATTCCTAGTCTCTGTAAAATGCAAAACAATACTGCCTGAAGAGCAGGCCACCCTTTTTAGAAATGCTATTTTCCAGTGAAACATTTGACATGTGAAGGGTGGCTTTTTGGAGAGTGTGTAACTGAAGGACTGGGCAGGTCTAATTGTTTTTTTACAATTAAGTAGGGAATAAATATCAGTGGTTTTCTGATACAAATAAGCACCTGTACTAATACACTATTGCCCTGATGAAGTGAAGTTACACTTACTCTCTGCCTGCTTTTGAATCGGAGAATGATAAATCTGGAACAGAAACCACAAAGGATCAGAAACATGATCATACACAGAGACTGACAGTAGTGAGGGCTCTTAATGAAGCCTGAGGAGAGATCATGTTAAACTCACCGGTTCTTTGCCATCCATGGCCTCCATCCACTGCTTCCTGTTGACCTCAGAAATAGCCTGGAGCAGGACAGGGCTGCACCTATGGAGACACAACACAAAAAACTTAAGACACACTGCAACAAAATAAATTAAACCTCTTGTTGTTTGTGTGAAATTTATCCAGTATCAAACAACTGCCTACACATTGGAGAGCAACTTCACAGTTCAACAAGAAAATTTGCTTTTATGGAAGAATTCTTGTAAGTGCTCTGACAAAAAATATCAACTTTCCAATTTACTGGCCCTCCTCTGGTCCTACTAAAATGTTTGTTATAGGTGCACTTCGTAGAGTGAACAAACAGACTTGAGAATGAGTGAAAATAACGGATAGGAGCCTCACCTTTCATTTGTCTCGATGTCAAAACAGAAGCGTTTATCAGTGGAGTCTGTTTTACGGCGTACGCAGGACTTCAGTGTGAGTTGAGCTGTGGTCTAAGAGAAACAAAGAGACAAATGTAAGAGAAAAGGGCTGACACTTCACAAAGTAATGATCGTATCTGTAATAATCCTGCACCTGTCTGGTTCCTGTCTTTTGTTCCACTGGCATCATAATGAATAACTTGTTGTCCTTGAAGTATTTACAGTAATACTTAACCCAGGTTACACCAAGAGCCCCTAGAGACACAGAAAGAGACTAAAAGATGAATAACATACGTATCATTTGAATTATAGATAGGATCAGCCAGTCAATACTGCAGAGATTAATCCTGACAGGGTGACGGACTCTGGAGGGGAAATGGAGGGGTCTCGTACGACCCTTTTTCTGGGGTTTATTCTGCTATAAAGACTAGCTAAGTGTAAATTATCCCACTTATTACAGTTACTTGCCAAATAAATGGTCATAAAATATTGATGTGGGTTTATTTTATCATGTGAGAAGATGGAGATTGCAGAGTTGTACCACAGAAACATCAATCTAGCACAGCTACCAGAAATCCAGTGCCAACAATGAATTACACAGTTTAGCGTCATTATAAGTCAATCTACAAAAAAAAACTTTTACTGCAGAATGCTGTGTTTGACCAGTCAGAAAGCTGTGTTATGAAATCTTTTATTAACTATCATAACTCATATTAAGATTTGTGCTGTGTGTGGACACTGACCTTTACAGACAATTACTACTAGATGCTCTTTCTTTCACAAAGAAATATTTCCTAGTGGTTGGATTTTTTTAAAGGAATATTCAGGGTTATTTTAAACTGAAGGTCAATGGACTTCATCTGTGTCAGGCTGCTGATTACCACAATCATTTTGAACGGTCTCATATTTTATAAAAATGGATGAGAAAGCTTTTACAGTTATTCACTTATAATGGAAACTTTACATGTTTTGGTAGTATAGCCATCACAAATGTGTTGGCACGAGATTGGAAAGATCAAATAGCCCACCAAACCCGTTTGTGTAAGTTACATAGAATTTTAACTCATTTGATGGCCGACAATCATGTAAGGATACCAAGAAGGTACATGAAAAGGATGCGATGTGACTACATGCACAAAACCAACAAGTTCCTCCACCTAAAAAAAGGAATTAGACAACTTTATAGTTCAACATAGCAGCTAACATGTTTTACTGAAGAATTACTGTAAATACTTATTTGAGCTTCATGCCTCTGGTCCTCATGCCACTTACCTACTAAGCTTTTATTATACTGTTTCTGTTTCCTGCATTTATACACACTGTCCGTTGAGATGAAATAATTGCCTGTGGTAATGGACCATTGCTGCAGAAGTAAAGTGCACTCACATTTCTCCTGCACATAAATGTATCCCTCCATAGTTGCCTGCTGGCTGTGTCTAATACAGATCTGTGCCGACCCCTTCATCCTCTTCATTAGCTCCTCCATCTCCTCTCTGGTGCTCTCAAAGTGGTTACGGGTCTACAACAACACCAGCGGCACCCAATCACACATACAAACAAAAAGCATACATGCAGTTACATTTCTACATATAATCAGGAGCCATTACAACGGATATGCCGATATATTTTGCTCATTATTATTCATTATAAATAATATTAACCAAAGAACTGTTCAAAGGTTTGGGGTAAGTCTTTTTTTTATTATGAAATTAATACTTTATTCAGCAGGGATGCATTAAATTAATCAAATTTTGAAGTTTCTTTTGAAGTTTCTATTCATCAAAGAACAGAAAAAAAAAATTATCCGGGTTTCTACAGTAATATTAAGCAGCACAATCAATGTTAACATTAAAATGAGAGGAAATGTTTCTTGAGCACTAAATCGGCAATTAAGAAGGATTTTTGAAGGATCATGTGACACTGAAGACTGGAATAATGATGCTGAAAATTCAGCTTTGCCATCACAGGAATAAATTACATTTTTAAATATATTAAAATTGAAAACAGTAATTTTAATTGTAATAATATTTCACAATATTACTGTTTGTACTATATTTTTTTGATCAAATAAATGCAACCTTGGGTAAGCATAAGAAACTCAATAACTTTTAAGAAATCTTACAGACCCCAAATGTTTGAATGGTAGTGTATATAACTTAATTATAAATCAGTAGAAAAAAAATACTTAACTAAATTTAAAACTGATGTTAAAGGGTTAGTTCACCCAAAAATGAAAATTAGCCTGTGTTTTACTCACCCTCAAGCCATCCAAGGTGTATATTACTTTCTTCTTTCAGACGCATCCAGTCGGAGTTATATTAAAAATGTTTAATATACCTTAATTTTGAATATAACTCCGATATGATTCGTCTGAAAGAAGAAAGTCATATACACATAGGATGCCTCGAGGGTGAGTAAAACATAGGCTAATTTTCATTTTTGGGTGAACTAACCCTTTAAAATATGTAAAATAATATAAAAATGTTAAAATAATAAGTTCAGAAACTTGCATTTATTAACGTATAAATCATATTAATAATTAGCGGTGGAATACTGTTCATTTTCTTCATCATTTATTAAACTTGTATGTTCACAACACCACAATGAATCCAATAATCTGTAATACAGTTACTGAAAGACACTTTGGATAAAATCATCTGCTAAACAAAAACCACTCAGAAATAATTAAATATAAAGAGTGAAGGACAAACCAACAGAGCAGCAGATTGAATGACTCGTATTCTGCTGATCTGATCATGCATGTGACTATATGGATGGAAGGTTAGACTCATTATCGATCGGTGAAGCTCTCACGTTCTGTAGACTGAGCTGAAGCTCCTGTTTATATGGAAGGAAGTCCTGTGTCATCTCCACGGTGAGATTATTCAGAGTTAGGATGCTCTGCAGAAATGCTAAAACCTGTCAATCAAAAACAAGGACACACCCCTTTAAGTATAACATGCTTTGGTCAATTCATTGTTTGTATCAGCATGAATATCATCAATGCATGTCTCGTTTATATCCATGCACCTTCTTGTACACACAGTAAACCATCAGGTACTACAAAGCATATATAAAAACAAGAGTGTGTGTGCTAGAGGAAAAGGCCGTTCACACGCACAGGCTCCACAACATCAAACTTTTTCCTGTCCTGAACCTGCTGGATCTGGTACACATATTCAACAGACGACTCATAAAATGTCTGACGCTCCTTATCCAACAGTCCATCAGCCTATAAACACACAAAAATCAAGATTATATTATTGGGTTTCATTTTTTTTTCTTTCATTTTAATTGACTGTATTTTCAAATGCACCTCTTGTAGCTGTGTCTCTTTTTTCTTTGAGGACAGGTTCATATGTTTGTCCAACTGAGAGTAATACTTCTCACTCTCCTTCTCAAACTTCTTTCTTCTCTCCTGAAACACAAGCAAACAAATGAAACCGAGAAAATAAGACCGAAAACTGGAGTGGAAGTGGTTCAGTTCGCTAAACCCATTCCTAATGAATAATAATTTTTAAGAAGCATTATAAGGAAATTGTTCTTAGAAATTTTTTGCAGACTTGTAACTGGTTCCTCACAACCAATAATTTCAACCAATAATCTCTGAGAAGCCACACTGAAACACTGCTGAAATGAAACTGATACTTCAGTAATGTTAACTGAAGCGTGCTGCTGTGGAAAGAGTCTAATCCAGTAAAAAGTCTCTGGAATTCTAAACTTTCCATGTGTCATTTTTCCTACAAATGATCTTGCTTTCCTTGTAGAATCATGATAGCTCTTTAACTCTTTCTCTGTCTCTCTAAAACTAAATAGTTTTTCCATAGATGCTCCAGTTGCTGACACATTATTCCAGCCTAGTTGTGTGTGTGTGTGTGTGTGTGTGTGTGTATGGTTGGCAAACACTCAGCCCATGTGTGTTTTGATATGTTGAGCGCTTTGCTTTGAGAAAGGAAGTAGAGGCGGAAATGAGGAGTATGCTCACACATATGTGGTAATGTGGTGTGTGTTCTTAATGTGTCTAAATGTATATAAATAACACTCACTTTTGTGACCCCAATCTGCTGTTTCCTAAACTTTTCCAAAGGTTTGATAAGCAAGTCACAGGCATTCTGGACCTGCAAGAGAGAAAGACGGGTGAGTACAGAAGTCTCTTACTGCATCTATAATAAAGTATTGTCCCTGCTTTTGTTTAGTATATGGGGGTCAGAGGTCAAGAGCTGTCGCTCCACAACATCAAACTTTTTCCTGTCCTGAACCTGCTGGATCTGGTACACATATTCAACAGACGACTCATAAAATGTCTGACGCTCCTTATCCAACAGTCCATCAGCCTATAAACACACAAAAATCAAGATTATATTATTGGGTTTCATTTTTTTTTCTTTCATTTTAATTGACTGTATTTTCAAATGCACCTCTTGTAGCTGTGTCTCTTTTTTCTTTGAGGACAGGTTCATATGTTTGTCCAACTGAGAGTAATACTTCTCACTCTCCTTCTCAAACTTCTTTCTTCTCTCCTGAAACACAAGCAAACAAATGAAACCGAGAAAATAAGACCGAAAACTGGAGTGGAAGTGGTTCAGTTCGCTAAACCCATTCCTAATGAATAATAATTTTTAAGAAGCATTATAAGGAAATTGTTCTTAGAAATTTTTTGCAGACTTGTAACTGGTTCCTCACAACCAATAATTTCAACCAATAATCTCTGAGAAGCCACACTGAAACACTGCTGAAATGAAACTGATACTTCAGTAATGTTAACTGAAGCGTGCTGCTGTGGAAAGAGTCTAATCCAGTAAAAAGTCTCTGGAATTCTAAACTTTCCATGTGTCATTTTTCCTACAAATGATCTTGCTTTCCTTGTAGAATCATGATAGCTCTTTAACTCTTTCTCTGTCTCTCTAAAACTAAATAGTTTTTCCATAGATGCTCCAGTTGCTGACACATTATTCCAGCCTAGTTGTGTGTGTGTGTGTGTGTGTGTGTGTGTATGGTTGGCAAACACTCAGCCCATGTGTGTTTTGATATGTTGAGCGCTTTGCTTTGAGAAAGGAAGTAGAGGCGGAAATGAGGAGTATGCTCACACATATGTGGTAATGTGGTGTGTGTTCTTAATGTGTCTAAATGTATATAAATAACACTCACTTTTGTGACCCCAATCTGCTGTTTCCTAAACTTTTCCAAAGGTTTGATAAGCAAGTCACAGGCATTCTGGACCTGCAAGAGAGAAAGACGGGTGAGTACAGAAGTCTCTTACTGCATCTATAATAAAGTATTGTCCCTGCTTTTGTTTAGTATATGGGGGTCAGAGGTCAAGAGCTGTCACATTTGAGCAGATGAATGTCTGAGTGACACAAAGTCAGGGGCCCTGAGTAGAAAGCATATAGCAGGGTCCAAAAATAAATATAGAATTATTTGTTTATATATTATATTATATCTAATATAATTTTTGTCTATATGCCAATGTAAATATTTAGCTGTTTTTCCATATCAGCAAAACCACTGTCACTCATATCATCATATATGAGATATATGATGTGTGAAGCTCCTGTTACACAAACATTGTGACACTGTTCATCATAAGTTTGCCTAGATGGCTTAACGTAGGTTATTTGGTCAGAAAAAATGGCTGCTTATGAAGAATATCAATCAATAGTAAAACATTGCCTGATTGAACATATGGGTCGCACATGCTAGCAGCTTTAAAGGCCGTCCACCCAGTCTGTCCACATGCCAGGGCAACTATTTTCTATGCAAGTAACTGGAATGTTGGCAATTAACGTATCTTAAATGTTGTTTTTGTAGCTCAAATCATGCTCCCCAGCTAATGTGCATACTTTGTTCCAGAGTAAACAATCAAACAACGCCTCTACTAATAAGGCAATTGGCTTTATTAATTGAAAGTGGGACATTTGTGTTCAAGTGGTCCTTCTCCTCCGCCTTATACTGTCTCTGGCTTCAGCCCAGCCCCCAAAAAACACTCTCTATATCAACTCTCACAGTTTCACTAAAAACAGAAAGACAACCATGGCCAGGAAACTCAAACGCAAACAACCTTTCACCACGTTGCTTGGTTGTTGGCCACTTAACATATGAAGCCATTAATTACTGAACCTCTGAGAAACAATAAAAGCAGCTTTATTGCTAAGTGAAATCAGATGTTGTGGAGCTCAGTGAGGATGGAATTATGTCTCAAACTCTCTACACAAGTTCAGTTCCAGAACACACACACACACACACACACAGGAAGACAGGCCACTGTCAGATGCATTCATCCAGAGCATTTCACAGTATTGTAATCGCTGGGACATTCTCCCAGGTCAGCCTAAGGTTTAAAAGTGTTTAGTTCACTGAACAAAACACTATGAAAATAAAGCAGTAGTGGGATCTCAGTGGATCTCTAACTCTCAAGATCATGGTTCCACCTAAATAATTAAGATTTTAAAATGTTTTTTAAAAAATGTCGCTTACGCTCACCACTTACACTCATTTGAGCAGAAATACAGTACAAACAGTAATATTGTGAAATATTATTACAATTTCAAATAAAAGTTTTCTATAGTAATATATTTTAAAATGTAATTTATGTAATCGATGGCAAATCTGAATTTTCAGCATCATTAGTCCAGGCTTCAGTGTCACACAATCCTTCAGAAACCATTCTAATATGCTGAAAACAGCTTTTGCTGCTTAATATTTGTGTGGAAGACAATTTTTTAAGGTTTCTTTGATGAACAGAAAGTTCAAAAGAACAGCATTTATTTGAAATAAAAATCTTTTGTAACATTATGAATTTCTTTATTATCACTTTTGATCAAATTAATGTGTCCTTGCAGAATAAAAGTACTAATTTCTCTTTCTTTCTTTCTTTATCTTATTTTCTCCAAATTGTGAGTGGTAGTGTATGCACAAAATATTAGGCAGCACAACAGTTTTTGATAAACATTGCTAAAACAAAAGAAAATGTTATATACTGTTTAAGACAATACTGTTTCTTTAAACTTCCAATTCATCAAAGAATCCTGAAAAAGTACAACTGTTTTCAAAATTGATATTAGTAAGAAATGTTTCTTGAGCAGCAAGTCTGCATATTAGAATGATTTCTGAAGGATATATATATATATATAATTATTTCATATTAATGTTCATTTAATGACTAATATGAACAATATTAAATGAATATTAAATAGATTAATGTTAAATAAATACTTTATTTTTAAAAAATCATATTAAATACCCCCATTTTAGCACTGGTTGTTCACACCTCAGATTTGAAAAAGAAATGGGTGTGTAAATCTGTGGGAAAATGAGAGTGCAGAGGGTGAAAAGAGGGGACGCAACAACCAATAAAACACAGGCCTACAACACACTCATTATACAGACAAATGAATATTAAAATATGAGCGGAAAACAAACAAACAACAGAATTAGGTGCCACATTGATATATTTAAAAAAAGATAATGATAACGAACTCTCAAGAAATCTTATCATTAAAGACTACTAACAACTATCATAAACAAATCGAATACATTTTGATAAATTATTCTTTGAAATATAGGCCTAAACAAATCAGTCATTCATTTAATGACTGCACAGTATTTACTCAAAATTTATTCTGTAATATAATATATTCCAATATTTTCCAATATTCTTAATGTAAATATTCTGATAAGATCCAGAAAAGAGAAACTCTATTTGATTTCAGTCTTATGTTACTGATCAATAGCCATGTGAGCCATTCATCCATCTTTCTATCTCTAACTCTCTGGCTGTGCTCTGTGCTGTAGGCCTGCACCCTCTGTGAAGTGAGCGGTGCTAACAGAGGAGATGGCTTAAACGATTATATCCCCTCTGATGAAAAGGACACAAAGAGTGTGTTTGTCTAAAGCATGAGGAGCTGGCATGACAGACTACACTCTCCAAACTAGATCACAAAACCCGCCCTGTTCAGCCCTCTGACAAACACACACACGGATCTTAAAAGACAGCTATTTTACTCTCGCAACATTAGACTAGAAATGATGTAACAGGTGTTCTTGAAATGCATGATTGCATGTATGACAAAGCGTTTGAATCACTGTTTGTACTGCAAGTTATAAACTACTAAACCACAGTTGAAGCCAAGAACCACATTCTGGTAAAAGACAACCAGACTTGGCTGAAGAACCGGTTAGTGCAGCTGAAACAGATTACACAACTAAACCGATAATGTTTGAATGGGAGGTGCCAAAAAGTGCTGTGTGGAATTATTTGGTCATTTATGCATTTGAAATGACAGCAGCCGCAACTATTATTGGCTCCCGTTCTGTATTGGCAAGCATATTTATTTAAGCTTAATATGAAAGCTTCCTCGAGAAAGCAGTCTGGAGATCTGTCATGATGTTGATATTCTCTGTTTAGTCATAACAGGAGCAATAGACCTCCAAAGAGGTTCCTCATCGTTGGAGAAAAGGAAATGATAAACTTCCTGTGTTAAGTTTCATATACACACAGCGATATTCCTCAAAAAGTGCAAAACTTCATAAACGCAGGAAGTAAGCATTTAGAAACCTTTGAGTCAGGTCATATGACTTTAGAAACTGCAGAACTTCAAAAAGCGGAAACCCTAGAGGAAATTTATGTTGGGCTCCAGTGACTCCTTCAGGAACTGAAGCACTGAAAACTCCTTCCAAGACACTGGAAGCATCCGAGAGCAGACTGCAATCATCAAATACAGCCGCTGTGCTCCGCACAGATCCATAAGGAAATCTGCCTTAATGGCTCAGCATTCTGCTTTTGGAGTGTTTCACTCTGAGGTATAAAGCGAGGCTTATGGTTAGTCACATTAGTATCTTGCGTACTCCCTCAGGCAAAATAAAAACATAAAAACGCTATCAGCCTTCCTGTGTTTTTAGAAAACTTTATGACTTCCCTTGAAATTAGGGAAGGAAGCCTGAGAAGCTCTATCTAGGAGATAAATTAAGGCTGAATCATCAAATTATCATTGACAAGACCAGCTGTCAAGTCTTCTATCCAAACTTAGGCAGTGAAATGTAGACGGAAAAACTGAACACCAATCAGCTAAAACTCTCCAATAGGTCAAAGAAATCTTCTGGCAATGACACAGAGTTCCCAATTTTTTTCCCCCCTTTTTTAGTAGTACTAACTAATAATGGATAAGTAATAATTTTCTATTAAAATGCAATTTCTACTTTTATTTATTGCAAAATTCAATTACACATTTAATATTGTCATTATATTGTTTATTTTATTTAATCTGTTAAATCGCTCCAGACAAATTGTATTAACTATAAAATCATGCAAAAACGTTTTAACATTTTATACAATTTAATAAGACTGTAATAGTTTTATGATTGTATTCTTTTAATATGTTTTATTAATTTCCATGAACAGGCCTGAAAATCACACTTTTAAAATTCCCAGCTATTTCCCTGAACCCTAACAACAATGAGGCCCACATATGAGCTATGCACTGGGACACCTACAGCTATAATTACTTCTATATCAATATCTACAATTACTGTAATATAGGCTAGCTCTATTGAGTTTGGCTCATCATTATGCAGAAGTTTCTGTCTAAAGTGCACTGTTTACAGTGACATTTCCTCTGTCGTTAACGAGGAACAGTGGTGGTAGAGAAGGGCTGTGATCTTGGAAACTTTCCATTTTGTTGCTTCACAACACTTCAGATATAAGCCAAACAACAGAAGAGGAAGGATAGTGAATAGTGAGAAAGGCTGATAGTTGTAATATCCGAGTTCATATGACTACTGGCTCTCCTCCGCTTTTAATCATCTGGTTGACACTTTCACACCATCTCTAAACTTTCCAGTCCAATTCCATTTACTAATTTGGAAAATGGAAGGTGCCTGCTATAAATAAATCAACAGTGTCCTAAAAGTGCTTGCCAGCATCTCTGAGAGGGGGATCTTCCAAGAGCTGCTCACCATCTGCCAGATCACTCCCTCCCCTTTCTCGTAATCTCCTTTAAAACTGACCAGGGACCCGCAAGTGAAAGCACATGCAAAAAGCCTTACGAATGTAACTAAATATATTTCTTGCATTAAAACACAATTATGCCCTTCTTTATTGCATGTCTTTAATCGTCTTCTCGGGTGCGCAAAGGCGGAGACCTCCATCCACCTCCCGCAAAGACCAGCACGACTGCTGTAAAACACCAGTTTACCTTTAATCGCGTTGATCACATTGTTCCCGTCCTTGATGACATCCTTTAGGAACTTGTTGGTTTTTTCCAGCTCGTTTTCGTAGCATTTCAATCTCTCTCTGAAATCCGGACTGTCGGAGTAACAATCGCTGAACTCTAGTGGAGGATGCCCCATTCTCACCCTCGGACCGATCAATGAAGATAACCGGCCTTTTGTTGTCAGTCAAGTACGCAAACCACGACAAACGTGCCTTTTGATCACTCGGCGGTATTAATCAAGTGGATTTCGATTAATCGGTTTCGATAAAGTTCCCCATTTTTGACATACTGGATGAGATGCAGTTGTAAATAAAACAGCTATAATCCAGCGGTCCAGTAGTGACTGTATCCGTGTGCACGCGGTATTGCTAATTCAGTCGAGCAATTTGAGTGGCAAAGTACAATTTAAAAGTGCTGATAAAGAAACTATTTGTATATCAATACTTTTCCTTGTTTTGGGAGCGGAGGGACTGACAAATGCGGGCAGGGCTACATACTGAGTACACCCACATCATTGGGCGGCAAAATGTCACTAGTTAGTAGCTAAGAAATGTTGTTTTTTTTGGGACGTACCGTTTCCTTCCTCTGGGGGCGCTTGAGGGTTCACAAAAGGAAATTTTCCATGGAGTTGCATTGAAATGTAAGGGTGCATTTCGTTTCACTGCACTCAATATATAGACTGAAAAGTATAACCGTTTAAATCTATTATTTGAAACTGTTGGTACCTGAAATACAAATGGAAACGTGCGCCTAGAAATTATATTAAATTGTTAATAAAGGATCATGATATTCAGCAATCATAAACGACTATGATTGGTTTATCCTGAGCAGCGCTTTGAAAAGTAACACTTTTAACGTGACATGCCGCTAACGTGGCACGTAAACAGTGATCTAGACAAAAACATTGGACTCGACACAGTGAAAGTGGGAAATTTAAATAGCCAATGCTTTGGAATATACAGTTAATAGTTTAAATAAAATAATTATTATGTAGATACACCGTGCTTGCCCAATTATTGACAACATCCGGGCCACTAAGCCTCATACCTCAGAGTCAAGCTAGTTGTCATTCTACCCGCATTTTGTATTTCTAAACCCACAATGACTCCGACCCTTAAAGAGGCCGACGCTCTTATAGATTTGAATGCATGTTTCATTGTGATAATATGATTTCTAGGCTCTGAGCAGCTAAAACATAGGGCATAATGTACGTTAACGACATTTACAACCTTTAACGTGTCCATTTAACTACTAATAAAATATGTGAACTTTACAACTGACACATTATTAATCAAATATAACAATGACTGAGCCGAATTTATAAATTCAAGAGCCGAGAGGCTGAATTTCAGAGTAACTAATACAAAAATTTCGTTTAGTTAGAATTTGTTTATGATAATAATATCAATAATAATACTGATGTTAATAATAATAAGTATTATTATTATTATTATTATTATTATCTTTTTTTATTTTATTATTATTATTATCCGCTTAGTGGCATGTTGGCGTTTTTGACGTCATACGTCCGATGACGTACCCGTATCCGTGAAAATGGCGGAAGTGGAGGAGTCTAGCAAGCCTTTGGTAAGGGACAAAACATGCTTTTAAACGCTTAAACATCTTTAAAACACGTTGTCAGCTTTTTCATGGAGTTTTTGTTTTTGTCTGTATGGTTACCGATCCTGAATGGAAGCTGGAGAATTTGTAAATGCGTCAGTAAACCTCTGAAAATCATGTAAACGCAGATTCTCAGCTCTAAAGAACATTTAAGTTACTACCTTAAAAGAGTTTTTAAAACATCTCCCAAATGTCCGTACTGACAGATTTGCTGTTTTCTAGTGGAAAACAGGAGTACGCGTTTTATCGCGCAGTCTTACCAAACTATGTAAACAGTGACAGTGGAAAATCATCTCTCTCTCTCTCTCTCTCTATATATATATATATATATATGTGTTTCTCTATCGTATAAAGATTTAAGTGTTTATTTATTTGCTGTGTTAGTGCAGACATTTTAATTATGACAGAGTCGCCCCAGTCTAAAATGTTAGTTAATTGTTAATTTAACGATAGGAATAATCGCGACAGAGATATGTTTACATTTTTATATTCCTTATATCTCCACTAGATTCAGGTTATGTTGTAATATAGGCTTGATATGACGTTTCGGTGCATGTCAGTATGTTTTGAAGAGTTAAAAAGTTCCTTGCTATCCCTTTACGAATATTTGTGAAAATGTGATTTTGTCTACATATATCTCAGTGATTGATAAACTTTGGGCTCCTCCCTGATATACGTTATATCATTTAAAACCTTAAAGTCTCAGTGTGACAAACATCAGGCACATTTTTAATGACACCGGGCAGAGAGAGCCCGAGGAACAGTCAGGAACACTACTGTCTCGCCTGTTTAGGTATCCTTTTTCAGGACAAAGTTTAACTAAAGTTTTAAATAGTGTACAAATTATCATCAGTATATAACCTGAAACAGTCTCACTTTCACCATTCAGTAATTTGCTTGACTGTTGTTTTATTCTTGTTTGCCTGCCTCTTCAGCTAAATGAGCTGACTGTTCAGTTGCTATAGTAACTGTCTCTTATTGTGAAGAAAACAGAAACACTATTACAAATTACGTTAATGTTAATATTGAGTTAATTCAATGTTAGCGCTTTTAGTTAATCATAATTATATCTATTTACCTTGTTTAAGAAGACAATCAACACACAGATAGATTAATGTGAACTGCATGCAAAGTGTTCTGGGTCTCTGGATTTGCCATGAATGATTTACACAGTCATTCTTCATGTCACAGTTTGCGGGTTTGTCTGACATCTCAATCTCGGAGGACATTCCAGTGGAGGGAGATATATCTGTCCCGGTGGGCTCACAGAACCCTGACGATGATTTCTCAACACTGGATGAGCCTGTCAAAGACACTATTGTAAGTGAAACCTTTTGTTACAGGGAAGTGATCGATATATTGGCAAAAATAAAGAGATAATGCACATTTGTTCAAATGTTTAGTGTGGATATTTATAATGAGGGAACAGATTCTGAGTGCACCAGTGTTGTTATTGTTCAATGAAACTAAACTAGTAAAAGTTATTGAAATAAAGCTGAAATAAACAATCTAAATATTAGATGAAATGCGTACATGAAAATTAGAAATGTTGTCTTGGCAACTAACTGAAATAAATATGTTTAAGTTGAAATACTAAAATCACTAAAACTGAAATAAAAGAAATATTTTAAAGAAATGACAAAAGCACACAACAAATACTAAAACTTAAAATAAACTAAAATGAAAACTAAATATGAAAAGGCTAATTCAACCTATTAATAAATATCATAATAGTATATAATAATACTAAAATAACACTGGATTGCACATTTAACAGTACTTCTGTCTGAGTTTAAGCAGCGTTTCTTACTGTCTCTTTGCTCTGTTTGTGGGTCTAAGCTGAGGGATCTGAGAGCCGTTGGACAGAAGTTTGTCCATGTGTTGTACCCCAAGAAAAGTTCTGCACTACTCAAAGACTGTGAGTCTATCATTTACATTTCATCAGTCGCTGATGACACATTATCAATCGCAGATTCCATAAAAGATGTGGGCTATATATTATCACCTATTATAAAAAATGCTAAATGTTCTAATAAAGAGCATGTATGTGTTCTTTTTAGGGCACTGGATTGCACATTTAACAGTATTTCTGTCTGAGTTTAAGCAGCGTTTCTTACTGTCTCTGCTCTGTTTGTGGGTCTCAGCTGAGGGATCTGAGAGCCGTTGGACAGAAGTTTGTCCATGTGTTGTACCCCAAGAAAAGTTCTGCACTACTCAAAGACTGTGAGTCTATCATTTACATTTCATCAGTCGCTGATGACACATTATCAATCGCAGATTCCATAAAAGATGTGGGCTATATATTATCACCTATTATAAAAAATGCTAAATGTTCTAATAAAGAGCATGTATGTGTTCTTTTTAGGGGACTTATGGGGACCTCTCCTCCTCTGTGTCACTCTGGCCTTGTGAGTATTAACGCTGTCAGATCAGTCCCAGTCAGAACTATTGTCACTATGCCTCCAGCAAATATAATATATTTATAATATTGTCTATACTAGAATGCTGCAGGGTGGTTCTGCCGACAGTGGGGAGGATGGCAGGCCACAGTTTGCAGAAGTCTTTGTCATCATCTGGTTCGGTTCTGTAATCATAACCCTCAACTCCAAACTCCTGGGAGGAACAATGTGAGTAAACAGTCAGCTTTTCATTTATCCTAATTTGCTTGCATAAAAGTGAGCACCTCAAATCTTCATTTTGGAGGAAGTGTTGAGTTAATTTGGTTTTCATGTTGTCAGTTTATTTAGTCGGTAACTGAATATGCACATTAACAGGGTTTCCGCGGGTCCTTAAAAAGTCTTACATTTGATTGCATCAAATTTAAGGCCATAAAAAGTCTTAAATGGTACAAGAAAGTCTTAATTATGATTTCAGGAGGTCTTAAATTTGGGGATGGAAAGACAGGAATTGCGATACAGCTTAATGTGATGATTAAACTTCAAAAGGCTTTGATTTCATTGCATGAGTGCTGCACGTTTCAAATTCTGCTGCTGTGCTGCTTTGTGTCCTGCCATTACCCGGGAAACCGCTATATTTCTGCCGTTCCCGAAAAGGTCTTAAATTTGAGCTTAAAAATCCTGCTGATACCCTGATTAAAAAGAAGTGTCTTAAGCCGAACCAAATGGTTGCCTGTGATTTAGCAGCTGTACCTACCAATGGGACGTTGTTTTCATTGCTAGAGGTAGAAAAGAGCACTTTATTTCAGTGTAATGGGAAAGCGAGTCAACCAGGTGCAGCACAATTGACCATTTTATGCCACTGACCACTGAGGGAACAGCGTGGGGGTGATAGTAATTGTTTCTTTTAGCCCCAGAGACCCAAGCATTGATATTCCATTTTTTTTTCACACTTAAATATGCCTTTAGAAAGCCATTAGTCATAAAAACCAATTGGTTTAGCAAAATTTGTATCCGGTATAATTTAAAAAATTGCAACACTGGGAATTTAGGGTTGCAAAATTTCACCCATTTTTGATACGGTAAGTGAAAGTTCTGACTTCCCAACACAATTCAGCACACAAATAGATTTTATCAGTTAAATACTTTAATAAATGTAAATAAATAAAATCATATTTAAATTATAATCTAGTAATTTAAATATGCCTTAATTTTTGAGAACAATAGAAAAATGTTCAAAATTTCAAGACATGGTGTCACTAGACAAACAGAAATAAAAATAAAAATTTTTTAATAAGATATTGATATCTGATGCTTAAAACTGTGGCACTTAATATGCAAATCTTGTCTCACAAAAACAGTTTTAACTGTGATCAATTTCAGATTGTCAGACTTGATTTTTACTTATTAGCCGTCTTATATTATTTTTTAAAATCAAGTTCCATCCTACAGTTTTTTTTTTTTTTTTTAAATCATCTTTCGTTCAGAAATTTCACATTACAGAAAGAGATGGTAACCCTCGTGCTGCAAAACATCTGCAGGATTTTGACCTTTATAAAGAGATGTCTCTATTTCTAATTGGTGAAACCCCTCTTCCCCCAGTGCTCATTACCACAGTAAAGGTTGTTTGTTCATTTGTTAGTAACATGAGTTTGGCTGGATTTGCAAACTGTTCATTAGCTTCTTCTAGACAATTTAGAGTGCATAATAATTACAGCTGAGTTTGAGCACATTACTGAAACAATGTAATTGACTCCTTTTTTTCACTTTTTGTCTGTACAGATCATTTTTCCAGAGTCTGTGTGTGTTGGGGTACTGTATTCTTCCTCTGACTGTGGCCATGATAGTTTGCCGTATCGTTCTTCTGGGAGCTTTAAGCAGCGTCAGTTTTGTTGTCCGTCTCATAGTTGTCACCGCCTCCTTCTCCTGGTCAACGTTTGGTAAGAATCTAAATCGTTTATCTGTTTCAGCAATCCCAGAATACTAAAGGCCCCGAGATTGTTCTATTTAAATAAACTGGATTGATGTTTTTAGAAGAAACGTTTAGAATCCATTTATGTTGTCTGCTGGTGCACCAGATGAGCCTGATTGGCCGACTAGCTCCTCAGCCAGTGCGTGCAGCCACCACCAGGAGGCAGTGCAGACTCATTTAATGTTTTTTTTGTTTTTCATTTTAACACTTCATATGCATGATAGAAAAAAATAAATACAACTTACATTTGAATGGCTCACAATGCAAAATAAATAAAAGTGCAATAACAGTATTCCTAAAATAATAGCCTGGTAGTGACCAGTATTATTTTAGTATTATGTATATATTAGTTAATATTTTTTTTAATTAGCTCTCATTTTAATATTTTCAGTTTTCCTTTTAATTTTAGTTTAATTGTGTTATGTGCATTTGCCATTTGTATTGTTTATATATATATATATATATTTCAGCTTTTTTTATAGTTACCGTAAATTATTTTGTAATGGTTTAGTTTTAGTTAACCGTAACAACAACAAAAAAAAATTAGGGGGTTTCAGTGAGATCTGAGCTCATATCTCTAAGCGTGTCTTTCATTTACAGCCTCCACAGCATTTCTTGCAGACAGCCAACCGGCCAATAGGAAAGCCCTGGTCGTGTATCCAGTGTTCCTGTTCTACTTTGTAATTGGCTGGATGATCCTGACATTTTCGCCTTCTCCTTAACACACATATACCATATGCCAATTGCAAAATGAACTCCTCCCCTTCAATAAGACAACCAGCAGACTGTCAGGGAGCTGGCCGGTGATTGGCCTAGCCTAAAATGAGGCGGAGCATTTTGATGGACACTCATAAAGGGGACAGTAAGGGGATTATTGCATAGATACCACACCTCCCCATCCCTCATTCACAGTTGGATGAGAGGAGAGAAAAGGAATGGAGGACACAAATTCTTCAGTTAACAACAGCTTATATGTCTTCATTATATTAATGTTTTGTTGTGTGAGGAATGTCAGTGCCCTTCTGAGCAGTTCCAGGTGTACCCACACCCCCAACATTACTATGTTTTGTGTGTCTCGGCTATGACTTCGTGTGTGGATGTGTTTGCTCAAGTGTAGTATATGTGACTATGTGAGTGTGCATGCATTTGTTTTTGTGTCTGACTGAGCATTGTCTCTGTTGGGAGAATTATTCAGCTATCATCAGGCCGCACATTCACATCTGTCCCCTCACATTGTTGCACACAAATGTTTCTTTTCTTTGGCGTTTTCTTTTTAGTTCTGAATGATGTTTGGGCTTTCATTTATTTTTTCGTTGGTGGAAGTTAGTACATTCCTGAAAAAAATAAACATGGACTTTAATAAGTACTGCATAGACTGTATGAGCTCTGTCTTTTTTGCACACAGAAAATGAAAAATGTATCTTCAGGTTGAATTGGAAGTGCTGTTTCTCTCTGTATAAATGTGGTCTGTCATTTAAACAATATTTTCACACACATCTTGCTGTCCATTTGACAAAGATGGTCTTCCCATACACAGTTTGTGCTTCCCAGCACAGCTTCCCAGACACACAGCTTCCCAGACATTTGACAAAGATGGTCTTCCCATACACAGTTTGTGCTTCCCAGCACAGCTTCCCAGACACACAGCTTCCCAGACATTTGACAAAGATGGTCTTCCCATACACAGTTTGTGCTTCCCAGCACAGATTCCCAGACACACCCATACACAATGTGTCTTTTTGTTTCCCTCACATTGAGAAACACACACACACACACACACAGAGTCTTCACTCCTCTCTCTCTCTCTCTCTCTCTCTCTCTCTCTCTGCCTTTGCCGCCCTATGTGATAGTAGTTCTAATTAGACGTTCCATCTTGTATGTCTAAAAAAAGACTATTTCACTTCTAATGCATTGCAGCACCTGAACCATAAGGTGCAACTGAGGCGTGTGTGCTGATTAAATAAAGGTGTGTGAGTGTTAGAAAATACAGACCTTTATACACTGAACAAAATTATAAATGCAACACTTTTGTTTTTGCTCCCATTTTTCATGAGCTGAACTCAAAGATCTAAGACTTTTTCTATGTACACAAAAGGACAATGATAGATAGATAGCTCTCGTGGACATTCCTGCAGTCAGCATGCCAATTGCATGCTCCCTCAAAACTTGCGACATCTGTGGCATTGTGCTGTGTGATAAAACTGCACATTTTAGAGTGGCCTTTTATTGTGGCCAGCCTAAGGCCCACCTGTGCAATAATCATGCTTTCTAATCAGCATCTTGATATGCCACACCTGTGAGGTGGATGGATTATCTCGGCAAAGGAGAAGTGCTCACTTTTTTTGGCCAATACAATGGAAGTCAATGGTCATCAAAATTGTTATAAAAGAAATAAAAGAAAGTCAAACAGGTTTGGAATGACATGAATAAATGATGACAGAATTTTCATTTTTGAGTGACATATCCCCTTAAATGCTTCCTGTGGTTTCATCAGCACAATTTATAAATATCAAGTTTTGTGTGTGGATTTTATAATTAGTGACAGACTCATTTGCTATGTGCGTTGCTGAAGTTCCTCAATCTGTTATTAGTCAAGAGTATTAATAGAGAACCAAAGGGGAACAGAGTAGAGAAGAAAAGAGTAAATTTGGAAAACAACAGCAAAGACTGTTTTACAGCTATACTATCTGTTGAGGCCTGACATTTTATATTGTTTAAAAGAGGTGCATGGTAATGAATTCTGGATATAATTAATATGTTAATGATGTGCCAGCTGCTGATTAAAGTCTAAGATTGATTGTTTGAAGTCTAAATGAGATCTCCAGCTTCTGTAGAGGGCAGGCTGTGCATGGGAGACATAAACACGCTGCAGCTCAACAAACCGTTGTGTTTGCTTACATGTTTCTTTAAAACACCTTAATGAACCCTTGTTCCTCCATTCAGACTCAACAGTTAAGCGTGTGTCCATTCTAAAACAACAAGTGAGTCATTTGGAGAAGTAGTTGCAGTTCAAATACGTTTAAGGAGTCATACAGCAGATGCAGCTTTCCTGATTTCCAGGGAAAATATGTACTGATTTAAAAGATAGAAGAAGAAAGTGCATTATGAATGCACAATAAGTTGCTCTTTAATAAAGTCATCTGCAAGATGCATAAATGTAAAGGATCAGATTTTCCAAACGGAAAAGGTGTTTCTCAGGGCCAGTTCAGTATTTTGCTGTTTGTTGCTCTTATGGAGAGAAATGCTCTTTTAGGTGGGAATTCCTTGTGCCTGAACCATCTGTCTTAATAATATTAATAAATAGCAGATGTCAGATAGCAATTGTGGTGCAGTGACTCAGCACATGAAAGAGCTGTTGTCTCCTGTACTGATCCCATTCCCATCACATTCCCTCTCGCTCAGCCATACTTTCCTGTCTCCATTCCGCTATCCCATAAAATAGTAATAATGATAATAATTATTATTATTATTAATCATAATTTTATTATATGTGCACTAATATACATAAGTTTGGGGTCAGTAAGATTTTTTAAAAGAAACTAAGATGAATACAATTGACAGTAAAGACATTGATTACAAAAAGATAAATGTTTCTTGAGCACCAAATTAGCATATAATTATGATTTCTGAAGGATTATATGAAACTGAAGACTGGAGTAATGGCTGCCAAAAATTCAGCTGTGGTATCACAAGAATAAATTACATTTTAATATATATTAAAATAGAAAAACGTTATTTTAAATTGAAATTATATTTCACAATATTGCAATTTTTACTGTATTTTTGATCAAATAATCTTAAAAAAAAATCTTACCAACCTCAAACGTTTGGTATAGTGTTTGGTAGTGTATACTGTACATATGTGTGTGTGTATATATATATATATATATATATACATAAAGAAAGAAAGAAAGAGTGCTGAGCTCTGTTATGATGAGGCTGGCTCTTTATACCATATACCATCACGCTTTGTGTGCGTCATTTTCAGAGCAGCTGCAGTCTGTCAGAATGAATGATCACAGACTCTCTGTGGTCCAACTCCAGGCTGCTGTAGAGGCGCCCCAGAGCATTGTGAACACTGGCCTGAGTACGCCACTGTTTCTGGCCAACCGGAGATTATGGCACAGAGAAAAAAACCTCCTCACAGGTCACCTAAAAGCATGACGGGATACTAAAGTGCTGGAGCCTCATTAGAGCAATACCATTCCTAGGTCCAGGCCCGAGCCAGATACCTAAGCTTTATCACAATGGTGTATTCTGACACCTTTGGTTCTGCTGGTCCTTTTCAGTCCTCTTTTCTCTCCCACATTGCTCCCAGTCCACTCTATACTGTGCAATACAAATAAAAAAGCTGCAGAAAGGTGTTCTGGCAGTGGAAGGTGTATGTGTGCACAAGACAGAGAGGCTTGTTTCATTACATTAATAACAGCAATAAGAAAGTTCACTGCTGGGGCAGAGGAGAAAGGTCACTTTCAACTATGAAAGATCCTTCAGAGCAGCTGCTCCAAATCTCTAACGTGATCATTACAGCGTTTTCAGACTCCAGACCGGTCTTACGCTCTCTTTCTGTTTGAACTTCTAAAATATAAACATTTTAGGGGATGCTGGTGCACTGTGGCTCAGCTGACCTAGAGATGTTTTTCACCTGCTATTCAGGACAGAAGTAGGACCGCTGGTACTCTCATCATGGCTCTGTCACAGCAGTCAATCAAAATCCAGCCTCATCTGCTAGTTCTGTGGCTGGGCTTCTTCTCACAGTCTGCAAACAACAGATATCCATCTATCAAAGTGTTTATATTGTACTATGGGTATCAATACATTTCCAATAGTCTGCACCAAAATTGTGTAACCAAATGAAATTATGAATTATAAGATTTTGTGACGAATGAATCAGGCACTGACGCTTTTGGATGGTTAGGATCTATTTGATCTCTTTTTATTTGTCTGTTTTCATTTTTTCTAAATGTTATACCCCTTTTATGCAAGATTATTCTGTATGCAGACCTATTTTACCTGTGCATATGAGAAACATGATGATTATTTTAATATAACATTAGGACATTTAGTATTTTGGCCATAGAGAGTACAGGCAACATTAAACTCTGCCCTTGAACATTTTTAAAGGTATCAGATATGTATAGTCTTTCCTGACACTTGCAATCAGCGACATGAGGTGTGTCCCAGAGCACATGACACATTTTCACTTTTCTGTCATTATACAGCCAGGATTTTATGGGAGCAAAGAGGAAGGTAATATTTGTCTTTAATAACCTCAGACATGGACAAATTAGAAAATTACTCTTGTCTTGTATTTGATACAAAATATTTTTCAATACTTTTCTTATATGTGTATATTTGTGTGTGTGTGTGTGTGTGTGTGTGTGTGTGTG